ATGGGAACAGCACATGGCTTTTTCTTGACACTGAGTAGATTCAAAGCCCTAAAAGGTAGGTGATGGCACACACATTTTGATTAAAGAAAATTTTGTTTTTACCTTGAAAAAAATTATATAGCCATCCCTGCTCTGTGGCTGCCCATGCAAATAAGTGGTAGTTTGTTAGTTCCTAGTTAGTGGGTCTCTGGAGAGGGAGACTGGCCTCCCTCTTCTAGTGCTGACCTGCAAAGCCAGCCTCTCTTTTGGGCTGGGCAGACTCTTCAAGTGTGGCCAGTTAGAAGGGCTTCAAGAGGATGCAGACTGGATTCCTGTGCTGAGAGGGCTTTGGCCTGACCGCAAGTGCTTTCCTCTGTACAGGGACCTCAGAGGAGCACTTAACTGGTTGTACCTTTTATTTCCTCTGCTCCTAGATGTCAAAACATGATTGTTTTCCCTGGGTGGCTCTTCTCAGTAATCGAGATAGGTTGCATGGCCTCTTTGTGCCATCTTCCGTGTGGCCTGCTGGAGGTCAGGTCCAGGGTGCCCAAGGTCCAGAGGGCCTGGTGAACAGCAAGCTGCGTGGGCAGGCACAGCCTCCCTGGGCTTCCCAAACCTGGCTCATCTAATCTGGAGACTTAGGCCCCACTCACGCCTTAGAACAGTGGCTCCTCTACCCAGCTCTTCTCTGGCATCTATGTGGTACGTGGCGGTGAGAGTACTGGATTCTTGGGGGAAGGAGTCCTAGGGGAGGCATGTTGTGAGTAGAAGTCAGCTGTGCTCTGTGCCATCTCCAGAAAGCATCACTTTACAGAGCTGAGCTCTCTGCCTCCGACTGAGGCGAGTCACGCTGGAATGCAGGCAAAGAGCTCGCTGAAGAGGGCCTCACTGACCTCCCGCTCCCAGCGAACATCTCTGCACCCCCTCACCCTGTGGCCACAGGGAACACAGGCTCCCGTGGCACTTGCTGCTGGACCTCCAGAGAGAAACTGTGTTGTCTGCAGTAAAGCCTGATTTGCATGTTGTTTTGGTCTGCGGTGGGGAGGGTGACCAGAGAGGGTTTAGGCCAATCCCAGGTAGATGGGCTGGTGAGGTGGCATTCCATCGAAACTTCCAGGCCTCATTCCACAGCTGCACCTGAGGTTCTGTCCCCTCAGACTCTTATGGGCCACTCAGATTTGCATGGGTGCATGGGGAAGCCCTCCCAGAACCCAGAGACAGAAGGCTAGTGTGGGCCTGACAGAACTTCAGGACACGACCGTCCTCTGGTGTGAACCTCTTTTTTTTTTTTTTTTTTTTAATTTATTCTTTAGTTGTAGTTGGACACAATACCTTTATTTATTTATCTTTATGTGGTGCTGAGGATCGAACCCAGGGCCTCCCACATACTAGGCGAGCACTCTACCACTGAGCCCCAGCCCCAGCTGTGAACCTCTTGACCCCACAGTCTTGTCTTGCTATCAGACTCCCCCATCAGTGATGTCAACTAGAGCGGAACATGGACACGTTCCTTTGTTGTAAATTATTTTCAAACCAAAATATTGTCTTCCTGTATATTCTGCTGGAACAAAGTTTAATTCTATTGCTGACTACTGTAAATGGTAATCAAACCCAAACTAAGAGCTGGAGTATTTCATCATTTAATTTTGAAATGAAATCTCCAGGAGGAATGAAGTGCAGCTCTGCTGAGGCCATGTCAGCTTCCTGACAGATGCAGGGCCTGTGGATACCCCGGTAGACCCTCCCTGGGGTCTGTTGCATCACTCTGCTGGGCATCTCTTGCCTAATGGATATATGTAAAACCTCAGTGTCAGCTGTCCCATTTCTGGTACACAGACCATGGGTCACACAGGTTGCTGAGGACAACTGGACAGAGGAGCACCTTCAGCACCTTCACCTCAGGGTCCTTCACTGTTCCTGCTCGCTGCCCCCCGTGGAAAGTAATAAGGAAGCAGTGAATTAGCACCTGCCCAGTGGGCCGCAGGATCACTGTACGCTTGACTTTGGTGACGGCTTGGAGCAGACTCTCCACCCTTAAAAATGGGGCTCCCACAGCTCTTTGGTGAGACTGTGCAGCCTGGCTTCCCCAGGTGGTGTAGACCATCCTTAATACCTGTTTTTTAGCTCCTCTTGCACAGCCTGGAACTGTGCAGACTAAAGCATGGGCTGATGGTGGAGCTCAGTGGTAGCACACTTGCCTAGCATGTAGGAGGCCCAGGGTGCCACTCCAGCACCAAAAAGAAAGAAGGCAACTTAGATTTTATCTCATTTTGAATTCCAGTTCCCCCCATTGCCTCCACTGTCCATCATGGCAAAATGATTCTGTTTCCAAGAAGTGAATGGGCATCCAGAGTCGTGTAACTTCCCAGAGGTGATTTGCTTCTCCTCTGGCTCTATGAAGGGGCTCCAGTAAGCCCTTGACCAAGTGCCCGGGCCTTGGGGGTTTTCACCCAAGGCATACCTGATGTTGGCTACTTCCTGGCTTAGGGTGAGAGGGTGGGGAGCCCTGCACAATGACTCTTCTGAAGTAGTTGTTAACCAGGATTGACATGACAAGGATGAAGCCCACCAGCAAGCCCCTGACTCTCCCCGCTGTGGACTGCAGAGCCGAGAGGAGGGGGGTGTGAAGGCAGTGGAAGGAGTGGAGACCTGAAGCTCGCTCTTGACCCTGAGCCTGTGGAGGACAGTGAAGGTGGCTGTGGTTGGCTCAGGGCTGTCACCACAGACACTGGGAAACAAGTGTGCATTTCCTCTACTAAGAGCGGGGATTCTCCTTTGGCCCAAGGGTTGGTGACTTGGGGGTGAGGAGGTGGCCAGTGCGGGCAGTGTCCCCACTGGTATCAGGAACTAGAAGCCTGGTGCCCAGGTCACCCTTTGTCTCCAACCCCCACTCTCCCCTGGAACTTCAAATAAAGTTGCTGCATCCTCCAGGGTGGTCACATCTGGAAGGAGGGGCGGGGTGACGGTCAGACCATCACTGTCCCTGCAGCTGTCATGGACCTCCTGTGCTGCTGAACACCAAGACTGGAGCCAGTCCAAACTGAAGTGTGCTATGCGTGCCGCCCACACACCGACCTCCATAGCTTTCCACCAAAAATACCAACAATATGCATATTGATTAACATGTTGAGACAAGTGGGATATAGTCAGCTAAATAAGATTAAAGTTAGTTTCACCTGGTGTTTTTTGGAGATGGACACAATACCTTTATTTTATTTATGTATTTTTATGTGGTGCTGAGGATCAAACCCATGTGCCTACCACATGCTAGGGAAGCACTGTACTGCTGAGCCGCAGCCCAGCATTCGCCTGCTCTTTAGTTGTTAAAGATGCTGCCAAGAAGTTGTGCCTTTGGCCCACTCTGGTCTAGAGGCAGCACCTTCCAAGCCAGGGTGGGGATCGTGTCAGGGCAACCTGCCCCCCTCCCCACCCCAGGCCAAGGGTGGAGGGCTGGCCCGGCTGTGGATCTTGGCCCCTCTCCCCCCAGAGGGAGCCCCTTGCCTCTTCACTTAGTGGCACTGACAGTGGCGGAAGCCCAGTGCCGATGGGCCCCTTTCTCCGTCCACCAACACGTGCATGCCAGGGTGTGCGTGATGTGCTGCCACCTGCGGTGTCACTGCCCCCCACTAGGCTCAGGCTTCTCTACCTGCTGTGCCCCCTGTGCCAGGGCTGCGTGCACCAGCCCTATGGCGTCCAGGTTTCCTCCCCTGCTTTGGGCTGAGTGGGAGTGCGAGGTGTGTGCAGCTCTTCACCACAAAACTCAGGACAGGGGCCTGTCCCCCTGTGGGGATTGAGAGGAAAAGAGCTCCTACAGAAACGGGGCAGGGGCCAGGGCCACATTCAGTCTGCTCTTGCCTGATCTATCTAGAGGTGAGAGACAGCAGATCAAATGACATGGAGCCCTCAGCCATTCCCTAGTGTCCCTCCAACTGGGTGTGGACGCAGCTGAAGGTCGATTCAGATAGTCACCCCTCATTTGTATCACTGCAAGGCCCATGTGTGACAATGTGGCAATGTGTGCTTAGAGTTAACAGTGCACCACGTCAGCAGTCCTGATCCAGCCAAGAGCATAAGAAGCCTATGCTGGGGCGGGAGCCCGTGCCTCAGGCCACACTGTTGTCCTCTTCAGAATGTTCAGCACATGATGGACTCTGATGCATACCAGTAATAAATGCAAAGAAACGCAAATGTTCTTGACTTTGTGCAAGGGCTGTAAGCCCTCCTGGGCTTCTCGAAGCTCAGCCTGTGCTGCAGGCCACACAGGAGAGCCTTCCAGTTCCTTACACCCTCCCTGCAGGGGCGGACACTGCCTGGCCTTCCTGGTGTGAGCACGATGCAGTGTTCAGGATGGAGATACTCTGCTCCTGCTCCTGCTTCTCACATGTAGCTGCAGCCTCATGGCAGGACTTCCCACCCCAGGGCCTGGACCCCCTTTTCTGTATTGGTAGGCCTCTACCCTGGAGGTCAGTTAATCCAGAGGGTGCCGCCTTTGCACCACTCAGCAAGAAAGAAAGACACCCCACCACCACCAAAAATAAAAAGAAATATGTCTTTTTTAAAAATGCCATAGACTGTGTCTTTGGGGGCCAGACCCTGCCTCTGAGGGGCCGGGTATGCAGACCAGAACTGTCGTGCCCTGGGCTGCAGTGGGGAGTCAAGGGGGCCACAGCCCTGCCTGAAGGCCCTGATGACCCAGCAGGTGCTCACACCTCTGGGCCAGTGAAGTTCTACAGAACCCAGACTGCTCAGGCCCAAGAGACCACTCTGTACTCCCCAGCCAAGGCCAGTCCCACTGTCCCTTCTGCGGAGTGTTGGGGCCCAGGTGTACCTGCACACAGGCTGCATGGGTAGGAGTGTGAGCAATGGCCGCAGAGGAAGCAGATGGGTGGAGCGGAGGACGCTGGAAGCACTGGCGTCCTAATCGACAGAAACTGACCTTGTGCGCTGCTGGCGAAGGGTGAGCACGGGGCTTTCTGCACCCCTGTGTCTTGCTGGATTAATGTAGACTGCTTTGTTTGCAGGGCTTATTGTCATCCCCAAACCAGGCCAGTTCTCCAGGTGGAACTGTAGTGTAGCGACCCCACTGCGCTCAGACTCCCCGACGCGCGGGACTGCAGGGACCGAGGATGACGACGGAGAGCCGCGCTGGAGCCACGCCAGGGTGGCAGGCCTCAGGCAGGCAGGCAGACATCCCGAGGGCCGTGCAGACCCGTGATGTGGTGCCGTGCTGCGCACTCTGCTGCCCGCCCAAAGAAGTTTCCATTTGAAGTCGGTCTGTTGGGGCTGCAGTAAAAATAAGAAATGGTGTTTTCTTGTTTTTTACTCTAAAACTCGATGTAATGAAATCTCACACATATATAATATATACATATATACATAGTGTAAATAAAGTGCTTCTTGGACAGAGACCTCCTTGATTCAGCTGTTACGAGTAGTACTTCCCTCACTGGTTTTGCACTGGTTTTTTATACTTTGGGTGGTCAGAAGACAACCTAGAATGCACTCAAACAGAAAGGGTTTACTTTCTGACTTAAATGTGTAATTCAGGAAGGTGTATGCGTCAGTCTTACATGTTGAAATATTGTTTGCACTTCAATAGTTTAATGCTAATAGAAAATGGCTCTGAGTGTGGTGGATCCCTGGCCCCTCACGGTGTGAAGGGAAGACATCCTTTTTTATCTGTTAATGTTTATTTTAATACTGTTGTTTCTAATGCAATCAACTCTGTATAATGTGTATATATAATGTAATTCTGCAACTGGGGGAAATAGCTACTTCACTAGTACTTTTCATCATTTAAGAGTGATATTTCTAATTTACAAGAAACATTAATATTAAAATTATCTTGAATATACTATTTGTTTATCTTCTGTTAAATTTGCTCAAATTTTAGCATGGTCTTTGCTGAATGAAGGGTTGGTATGGCATCAGGCTGTGCTTTGGAGTCCCCTCCATTGTCAGAGTGTGGCTCACTTGGAAGTGCTCGGGTTCTTTGCCCATGAAGACTCATCCATGTGGCATTGTGGGCATCTGCACGTGTGTGCAGAAATTGGACTTAGCACGCGGGTCTCTTAGAACTTGGAGCCCATCTCCTGTCCTTGAAAGCTGTGGCCGCACGTGACACAGCTTGTGAGTGTGAAGGTGCTCGTTAACTGCTCCTGGAAGAAGCCACAAGTGGCATACCTAGATGGCCAGGACCAGCTCAGGGCATCTCGCCCCTGTGCTGTAGCAGCTCCTCAGCTCAGCAGCCAACAGGACGACTTACTCTTTGTTGTTTCTTTTCTTTTTTTTTTTTTTTTTTAATCTTATTCAGCTGGATCCTTCAGAAGTTTTATTTGGTGACACTAAGCCATCAAGTGTCTGGAACACATTGCTCTACGTTATCATATCAATTTGGGGAATGTTGAGGGAATTGGGGCTTTTGACAGATATACTGTATGTCCCTCTTCTCTGTGAATGCAGCAGGGGTGTGTGTCACTGCTTCAGAGCAGTTTACTGGGCTCGATCTTCCTGAGTTGGCTTCAGTTCTTCTCGGTTCTTAAGCCGCCTGCACCCAGGCTGGGGGTGTTGGCCTCACCTGAAGCTGCCACTGCCCAGGGACCTTGTGGGGGGACTTGCATGATGGTGTGAGCCTCTGGGAGGTGTAAATAACCAAAATACTAACATTTGCTGTCTTAAGTGAAAGAATTAGAATTCATAAAACATACACATTAAGAATGACAGTATTAAGGGCTGGGGTGGTGGCTCAGTGGTAGAGCACTTGCCTAGCATGTGTGAGGCACTAGATCCTCAGCATCACATATTCATAAAAATAAAGACATCGACAACTAAAAAAATTTAAAAATTTATTTTAAAAAAGAATGCCCATATTAGAATTAAGTGTTAGCATATTTGATGTAGTTTGCTGTTTCTATTAAAGCACTGGTTAGAAAACCCTAAAGGGCCCACGATGCCTGCAGGTACCTTGGAATGAACTGCCTTTCAAAATCTGGGATTCCTAATGTGATCATCTCCTGGCTCTGTTTCCTGTCTGAGGAAGTGACAAATTCAGTTGACATGGGGCAACAATTACACAATGTTAAAATTATAAGCACCATTTGGTCGGATGGCCCACAGTCTGGAGTCGTGTCACTTATGGTGCATGGCGTGGTCCTTGCTGTGCCTCAGCCCAGCCTCCAATGCCCTTTGTTGGGTCCTGGAATGGAGTTTGCACTTGGCCAGCTGCACTAAAGCTGTCGGATGTGTCCCGGCACACTGTGGATGCCTCTGTGCTAGGAACAAATCTTCCTGGCTCTGTTCCCAAGATTGGTTCCTGGCCAACGGTCCAAGATGGCTTCCAAGCCCTGACTGCCGTCGACACACAGCAGATCCTGACAGACAGCACAGGCCAGCCTCACGATGCACCACAGGAGGTGGACTTGCTCAGCTTGCCTGGTCAGGTTCAGGTCTGCTGCTCCCGCCTCTGGCCTTGTGCTTTCCTACATGTGGTAAATTGGTGAATGTGGCACTGGGCATGGGGCCTGGGTACAAAGGAAGCTGGGGGGAGGTGGGCAATGCAGGGTGTGGCATCCATCCCAAACCTAGCTGCCCCCACGCTGTGTTCATGGGTGGCCTGGCAAGGACTAACCCAGTAGGCCTTCCCATGGCGGGCAGCAGGGCAGGAGACAGCAGGACTTCATGTCTGCACCCCGTCTGTTCTGTGGATGGGTTTGTGATACTAAGGACCATCAGCCTTTGATTCCTCAGCCTGGGATGTCTGCGTGCTTGCTCTGCCCCAGCCCAGCACCCACAAGCCCCACTCTGTGCCCTAAGATCTGAAGTGTGCCGTGGGCAGGAGAGGGTAGGCACTCAGCAGGGTTCGGCGGGCAGTCAAGGGATGAGTGTTCCAACTGGGTGAAGAGGTGGAGGAGGAAGCCAGCCTTCACCTTTCCAATTTGAGAGTGGGCAGAGACCCCACAGGACTCTGGGGTCAGGGTGGGGATGGCCTATGCCCTTCGCCCTGGTCAGCAGTTGCCCATTGTAGGGCCAGAGAGAACCACCAGGGTTGATGCCTCCTAGGTGGTGTGAGATGCAAGGGAAATGCAGGAGCCCAAGGCTGGCCAACAAGAGTGTCCTGTCCAAATCCACGGAAGTGGGCTTGTCCCAGTGAGGCTAAGGTCTGCCACATACAGGACCAGGGCACTGCTGCAGAGCTTTCTACCAGAGACCAAAAATTTTCCCTTCATGGTTCATCTACTAAAAGGGGTAATGATTTTCCTACATATACAAATGCTCATCTGTGCTGTAACCAATCCTCAGGACAGCAGGGTGCCCGTAACTGCAGCTCTCAGGACTTCTCCAGGGCCCACTGCCTCCACCCAGGCCAAGTGGCCTACCTACCTGCCTTGCAAGTCCTGCTCCTCTGGCTTTTGCCTCAGGTCCTTCCTGCGCCAGCTAGCAGGACTCTGCTCCTCCCTATCTGTGGACCCATCTCTGTGGCCTCCATCCCCTATCAGGACCCCTTCAAGTTTCAAAAAAATCTTGTCCTGCCCTTCCCCACAGGCAGCATCTCTGTCACCGTCACCTGCCTGGCCAGACATCCATGCCCAGGATTCTTCACCCATGTTGCCCTTGTACTGCCAGCTCCTCTTCTCTTGCCCCTGTCCCTCTGCATGGTCCCACGTTCACCCTCCTACTTCCATCTGTCCTGTACTTTCTGGGGCTGGGGCCACTGGAGAGACCTGGAAGGAAGGGTCACAGATTTGCCTCAATAGAGGGAAGAGGAGACTAAACACTAATCTGGTAAATTCAGTTTTCCTTTTAATATTGTGAGTTTGAGAAAATAGAATGAACATTCAATGACTAGGTTACATTTCAAGGCAGAGGGGCTTAGCAGAGGCTGGGGTGCAGCTCCTCGTGGGGCACAGGCCTAGCACAGTGAGGCCCTGCACTCCACCCTCAGCACCACACACAGAAACCGCCTGGCGGGGTTCTGCTCCTGCCCCTAAGCAGCCTGCTAGTGCCTCACCCTGAGTTCGCAAAGCACCACCTCTTCTTGCCACGTTCCTGTCCCACCCCCACGGGGAGAGGGTTTTATAGATGCGTATACATTTTAGTCGTGGATGGACACATCTATTTATTTTTATGCGGTGCTGAGCATCAAATCCTCATGCAAGCAAGGCAAGCGCTCTGCCACTCAGCCCCAGCCCCAGGGTTTCTTTTTGTGCCCAACTTCCTCTTGGCCCTCATGAAACAAAGCTCAAAGCACCACTGGCAACCTGGCAATGCCCACACGCCCGGGAGGACACCACTCACTGGAGCCGAAATCCCACGGCCACTCGAGGCTGGGGCTTGGCAGACAGAGCGGCCTGAGCTCCCACTGTGGCACGGCCGCCAGCTGTGACTCAACTCCATTTGACCCTTACTTAGTGCTTTTCTCAAGTGAAGCAGAAGCCACATTAAAGTGTTCCCAACGTCAGTGGCCCGATTGGCCTGCAGAGGCTGACGCAGCAGTGGTTAATGAGGACCCGAGTCCGACTCAGAGACTGCAGAGATGAGGAACTGCAATGACAGCTTATTTTTTAATAAAATTCAGGGGTCTCCAACAGCATAGTCTGTAAGGCATCACTACAATCCTGGGGACGTCCCCCAGTAGCACTGGTAAAGCTCAGCAAGGTGTGGCCCACGGTGAGCCTCTCCCACAAGCCTGACCCTACAGGACAGAAGGCACCGAGCGTCTGTTTTGACTCAGAAGAGATACAAAATATTTTCTCCACATCCTACGTCATGAGAATGAAATGAAACCCTGGAGGAGGTGTCACCAATGCATTGGACTGGACATGCAGCGCAGCTGCCCTGGGGGCAAGCACATGGGGCCACATGGCAGCCCAGAGCAGGTGGCCCAGGCAGCATGTTGGCACCAGGTGTCCCGGGGAGCTGGTGCCAGGCATGTTCTGGGCCTCGTTCCACGCGGAGCGGCATGGGCCTGCCCTCACGGCGCCTGCTCTTACTCGGAGGAGGCGCGGGCTGCCTCAGCACCCTCCGCCTCTCCTGTCGATGGTGGGCAGGCGGCACTGTTTCAGGCTAGGCTTGATGTCCTTCTGTGTGTCTATCTGTGAAAGGAAAACCAGGGACACTGACTGGAAGCTGAGGACAGGTGCAGGGGCAGCCCCCAGGGACGAAGAGCAAGACAGCTACCTTCTTGTTGGCACCCAAGCACTTCAAGGGTCTCAACATGGGGACTCTTCCGTTCGTCCCAGAACTGAACACTGACTGCAGTGTGGGGCTGGAGTATGACAGCTTGGTCACTCCCGAAAGCCTCAATTTGGGCAGTTCCATCAGGCAGGCCGGTCCCCGTCTCTTGCCGTGGTCCTCCTCTTGCCTCAGGGGCTGTTTCTTGAAACAGAACAGGGTCAGTTTTCCTCCGTGGAAATCAGGAAAGGCACAGGCAGCCCTCTGCTTCCACCTTTGTCTAGTGGAACTTCCTGGCTAGGCCGGGGCTGGAGCTCAGTGGTGGAGCGCTTACCTAACATGGGTGAGGTACTGGGTTCCAGCCTCAGCACCACATAAAAGTCAATAAAATAAAGGAATTATGTCAGCCAGGCGGGATGGCACATGCCTGTAAGCTTGGAAGGCATGCTTAGGAGGCTGAGGCAGGAGGATGGAGAGTTCAAAGCCAGCCTCAGCAAAAGCGAGGCATTGAGCAACTCAGTAAGACCCCGTCTCTAAATAAAACACAAAACAGGGCTAGGGATGTGGCTCAGTGGTCAAGTGCCCCTGAGTTCACTCCCTGGTGCCAAAAGATGAATTATAAAGATATTTTGTCCACCTACAACTAAAAAGTAACAAAACTTCCTGGCCTGAGGCAGGTCGTGCAGTGATGGGACACCCGCAGGTAAGGCACCCTGTGAGTCCCATGGGGAGAGGAGAGTCGCATACATCAGCCCCTCTTGGCCAGTACTCCTGCCCACCCTCTGCAACCACTCCACTCAGTTCTGCTGACCCCATGGAGGCTGGAGTGACCAGCCTCGCCTAGCGGTGACCTGCTCTGAGTGTGGATCTCAAACGACTTGCAGACTCTGACCCCTGTGCCTCCTGCTCTAGCTGGAGGTCCTGTGCCCAACCTGTCCCAACGGTTTCTGTGCAGCTTGTGAGCTCAGAATGGGTTCCACCTTTTATTTATTTGTTTCTCATTCACTTGTTTATTTACTAGGTGAACACAGTATCTTTATTTATTTTTATGTGGTGCTGAGGATCGAGCCCAGGGCCTCACATGTGCTAATCTAGTGCTCTACCACTGAACCCCAGTCCCAGACCAGGGGTTCCACCTTTTATAAGGATTGAAAGAAAACTTTGGTGGTATGTGAAATTCAAACATTTGTGCCCAGAGTTTCACTGGGTCATTCCCAGTTGGCACAGATGTCCTCTGCAGCAGCTCACCAGGCAGCCAGGAGCTGGACAAGCCAGGCAGTCTGCCCTCACAGACTCAGCACACCTCTGCCGTCACTGAAGATGGTGTAGGGGGGAGTGGCAGCAGGGCCGGCGAGGAGTTCCAGGAGGAGCGTGGCTGAGGGAGACTCTGGAGGCCCTGCTGGAGGGAGCCGCCTGCACCCTGCGCTTTAGAGGCGTGTCTGGAGCTGTCACAGGTGCTACACACCTGGACGCAGCGGTCGGGTCACGGAGCAGCGCCCTGGCTGCAGCCCTACGAGCCCTCTGCTGCTGGCTGAGAGCTGGCTAGTGGTGGAGGGTGGTGAAGAGCAGAACTGGGGAGGGAATGTCCCTAGCAGAGCTCCGGTGCCAGCCCCGAGGCTGCTGGGCCAAGCAGGTGAGTGCCTGTGGGTACTGGGCCAGATTGTACAGGGCAGGTGAAAGGAAAGGCAAGGGCTGTGACTGGGCTCAGGACTTTCACTGGTGGGAGGTGGCTTTCTGTGCCCCCTACTAGGACATTCTGAGGGTACACCAGGAGTGTCTGCAAAGGGTTCTGGCCTGGAATAGGACAGCTGCGTGTGGTCAGCACAGCACAGAAATGCATGGAAGGGTCCCACATCTAAGCCTGTGCACGTGGGTGTCAGCTGTGGGCCCTCAGCTAGTGGGGCAGGGCAAGCATGGTGAGCAGCATGGTGTCCAGGTTTCAGCTGACATGGTACAGCTGGGTGTACCACTGCCCTCCACAGATGGCCACCTCAGAGAAACAGGCCACCAGTGTGTCCAGCCTACTTAGTGGGCTGTTCCCCGCTTGCTGATTCCAGTCAGTACCTGCCTTCTGCCCTCCTTTGAGAACTGCCCGTTGAGACCAAGTAGTTCGGGCCCCATGGGGTGCTCTGGAAAGAAAGCCCTTCTGTGGCTGGCCAGGGCATGCTTCTCAGTCACCCTGCAGAGGAGAAGAGTGGTCACACCCAGGGAAGGCCCAGAGCACCTCTGCTTGTCTGCTGTCTCTAACTCCAAATCTGCTGTGACGAGAGGGTCCCATGAGCTACTAGGAAGAGCAACCAGAGGCGTGGGATCAGGTGACATCCAGTGGCTCTAATGCGCACCGCGGGCTCACACCACCCCACAGGATGCCCACCAGACGCTCCAGAATCCTCACCACCGGAGCCAGGGCACTGCCTGCACAGTGGCTACGCTCTCCCTGCCTACCACGGAGCTGCTGACTGCTTCACTGAGGAGCACACTGCCCAGAACACAGTGGGTAACGGGAGGCACTGACCACCGCCAGGGTGGGAACCCTCCAGAGGCTGGTTTCCTGCCTACCGTGTGCCGCACGGCCAGGTGGAGACCCACGGGAGCCTACCTCTGCTCCTGGAAGTAGGGATGCAGCAGGGCCTGGTGGGCAGCGATGCGCTCGTCAGGGTCATAGGCCACCATTGCGTGCAGGAGGGAGAGACATTGCGGGGACAAAGTGGTTGTCAGTTGAGGTATTCCTGATCCCTTTTTAAAAGGAAAATCAAAACTCATAGCTCTCGACCTGTATTAAAAGCCCAATGATAATAAAGGATCATGCCATTATTTGGAGCACTTGGTCAGTTGTCGTCCTGACTCTAAGGGGACAGTTCATGACCCACAGAAGGGGGCACGCCACCCTGTCCAAACTATAGACGTGCAATGCCAAGAGTGAGCCTCAGCTGAGCCATGGGCCCTGGAGACCAAGCCTGGTTGCAGGTTCATGGATTGATAAACATCCCCCCCAGGAGGGATGTGGAGAGCGTGGGGCGGGGGCTGGGCATGCGGGTTAGGGGCCCATGGGAAATCTTTACTTTCTGCTCGATTTTGCAAAACCTAAAACTGCTCTAAAAAAATAAAGTTTGTTAAAAAGGAGTGTGTGTGAAATCTGTTGTGCTATACATTTAAGATAACGACCTTTCCTCTAAAAGATTAAATTCTCCTTCCCACATTAGGACGAAATCAAGTTTAAAAATGGAAAAAAAGCAGCGTCTAGAATTGCTAGCATCTTCTTACCTTCTTGGGACCTAGGGCTGCTGGCTGCTCCCTTGGCCCTCAGGGCCCCCTCAGAAGCCCTAGCTCCCTGGCTGTGATCCCACAAAACCCCATGGGTCTGTGACACCTTGTCTAGGAGCCAGTATGACCCTGATGCTGTGGGACGGCGGCAGAAAGTCTCCTGTGCAGTTGGCGCTTGGGGGACCTTCTCCCCTGAGGGCTGCAAGTCCTGTGTAAATACTCCAGGGACAAAACCCGGCTCCCAAGCCGTGGGTGAGGCTGCGAGGACTTTACAGTGCCAGAGGAAGAGCACCCTGTGAGCCCCAAAGTCACAGGCAGCCCCTTTTCCAAAGGCAGAGGAGCCCAGTAGGTGAGGGGACGAGTGGGGGGGGGGCTTGTTCTGCTCCACCATGGCCCACTCCAGCTGAGGCAGGAGTCCACATCTGACTCTCAGGGCCGCCACACTCACTGTTTGAACTTGGTGAGGGTCTTCTGAGCGGGTGTGCCAATGACATCATGGATTTTTGAGATCTGGTCCAGTTCATTTGCTCCAGGGAAGAGGGGCTGCAGACTGCGGGAGCAGGACAAGAGGCACCCAGGTGAGCGCAGGGCTGTCTCCTCCAGGAGACAGTCCCTCTATAGACTCCCAGGAACGGTCCCCAGAGCCATCCTCAGGGCTGGGAGCCGTCCATCCTTCTCCACAGCCCCAGGTGTGATTCCTGAGAGGCGAACACACTCCTCTATCTGCACACTCCTGTGACTGCGTGAAAGGAGCACATCAGCTCTAACTGCCACAGACACATGGGGCCTGACGCCAGCCAGGTGAGTTCTGCTGCACATGGAGGGCAGAGTGGGGCAGGGCTTATGGGCAACTGAGTTCCAAGAAAACTTTTGGTTTACAGAGCTTTTACAGATTTTGTAATCGTGAATAAAAGATTTTAGACTTGCATAAACCAACCCAATCCATGTTACACATCACAAAGAGGAGCCTAAACAGCTCCGCTAGGAATGGCTTCCGCTCAGTCAAGAGCAGTATCTGCAAAGAGAGAAAGAGGGCCGTGTGGATGAGCAGGCCCCAGCTCCAAGGTGGAAAACCAGGACACCCCTGCCCAGCGCAGGTTACCAGGTGGCTGGCTCCCTGAGGCTACTGCGTCCTGTTCTCCAGTACCCTACCAAACCAGCTCAGGGGATTTCAGAACTGTGCTGGTGCTCGAGGCTGCACAGCAATCACCTCTCAGCTCTCCAAAGTGACAAGTCACCAACATGAACGCTGGCATTCTAAGGGGTGCCCTGAAGTGCACATCTGTATGCATTTCTGTAGTGGTCAGTTGAACAGGTAGGATAATGACACTAGGTCACAATGCTCACTTGAAGATCCACCATGAGAAAGAGGGAGCTGCCCACCCCTGGGGGCCTACCTATGCCACTCCACTCGCCCAGCATGGACCAGCCTGCCGCCCATCTCCTAGGCCCCTGCTCCACCTGGAAACCAAGCCCAAAGGCCAGAGTTGGAGTGGGGAGGCCAGAGCACCCTGCATGCCTGGAGCAGGCCCTGAGGGCACCGCTCACCCTCCCCACATCTGCCTGGAGGTGGAATGAGCTTGCCTCCCCTCTGCTCTGGGATGCTGGTCTGTCAGTCATTTCAGGATCAAGCCTGGAGGACAGCCCTGTTCCCCAGGAGCCCGATGGTGATGGCTTTGTAGGAAGAACAAGCAAGGAAAGGTAACATGAAAGCCTAGTGGACTTTTGTCCTTCTGTGGTGCTGAGGATGGAACCCAGGGCCTTGCCCGTTAGGCCAGCACCTACCACTGAGCCACACAGTGCCCACCTAGGAAGCTTTCTGCTGAAATAAAAAGTTGAGTGACTGTAAAACCTGGACGTATGGGGCTGGGGCTGAGCAGTAGAGCGCTCACCTAGCACGTGCCAGGTCCTGGGTTTGATTTTCAGCACCACATAAAAATAAATAAAAATAAAGATTAAAAAAAAAAAAACCTGGAGGTGTGGGGGATGGCAAGACACCCCCTGGCCTGGGCCTCGCTGTGTGATCTGCCCCCTCCACCTGAGTGTGACCAGGCTGATGGTCCCTGCTCTACCTGGCGATCTCATAGAACACACATCCTGCACTCCACAGGTCCATCTTGTATGTGTAGAAGCCATCAGTGAGGAGACACTCCGGGGCCCGGTACCAGCGGGTGGAGATGTATTCCGTGTACGGCTGCTTGGAATAGACACTCCGGCAGGACCCAAAGTCCCCCAGTTTCAGGACATCCTGCTGCAAGCAGCAAAAATCAGAGGTGACATCTCTGCAGCTACTATCATACAAACCATTTCAAACGTTTATACACTAACAGGAAAATCCTGGCATTGACACTAGCATGGAAAATAGAAATTACCACTTTGTAAGCCTCTGGGGGGTGGGGACGTGGGGATTTCTCCATGTGGAACATGGCTACAGACATTCTGACAGACTTGGCATGCATCTCCCATGTCTCCAGAATCTCCAGGTAAGCTGCATGCTCCAGCCACGTGTACCCTGTGTCACACCTCCGATGCCCTGGCTCTGCAGGTGGCTCAGTTCTGGCTCACCCTGCAAAGGCTCCCACAGCATGTGGCTTCAGGGGACTGTCGATGGTGCATCAGATAGACGTGGGGGAAAGCACAGGATGACTGAGCTCGGGCCTGCAGAGGCTTCAGAGTGGGGGACCTCAAGGCTGGCCTCAGGGCACTATAGGGGAAGACCTCAAATTTGGAATGAGCTCAAATCCTGCCTCTGCCACGCTAACATCTAGTGTTTGGGATGGACATTTGAATGGAGTGAATTTTGTCATATTCTTCCAGCTGTATCGACAGTTATTTTGGTGAAACTTACTTAATAAGCCTCCTTTTCCCAGTTGGAAAGGGAAAAACTCTTTAAGAAACATGCTGAAATAAAAAGTTGAGTGACTAGCTAAACACATCCAGTGGGAAAAGGCCTCATAATCTACCTTTATTCCGAAATTAAATTTCCATATAAAAATTCTTACCTTTATGAGTATATTTTCTGGTTTTACATCTCTGTGAAATATTCCATTTCTGCATTTGGAATATAAAGAATAGAATTAATTGCATCTTTTTTTTTTTTTTTTGTACTGAGGAATTAACCTAGGGGTATTTTACCACTGAGCCACATCCACAGCCCTTTTTGCTTTTGTTGTCGTTCTAATTAATTTACTCTTTATTTTGAGACAAGCACTCACTTAAGTGGCTGAGGCTGGCCTCAAACTTGCAATCCTCTTGCTTCAGCCTTTCGAGTTGCTGGGATTCAGGCATGTGCCACTGCACCCAGCTAACAGTACTTTATTAATTCAAATTCTTGAAAGTGAATTGTATTTTTAGTGAATATAAATACATTTTGTCCATCTGAGAGCTGCCCCATCTCCCAAAGCGTACCTGTGCATGTGATCAAGGGATCTGCATAACTGATACATATAGTGCCTGATTTTTTTTTCTGATAATGGATGTCTTCTTCCTGTACAATCAAGGAAAAGGCAAATTATAGTCACCAATGATACATATCCCCTTTTTAAAAACATATAATCCACTTTTTAAAAAAAATTTTTACATGTAGTTGGACACAATACCTTTATTTTATTTATTATTTTTACGTGCTGCTGAGGATCGAACCCAGTGCCTCACATGTGCTAGGCAAGCGCTCTGCCACTGAGCCACAACCCTAGCCCCATAATCCACCGTTACTTAATAATATGTGAAAAATCTAAGTTCCTCTGTGAAAAATAATCTCAAGTAGTTTTAGGAATATGGAGTACACTTACAAAAGACATCATTTAAAATCCTACATAGTGGCATGATTTCGCTTAAAATCACAAAACATATGCATTTTGATTTCAGTTAGAACACTACTGAGCGATAGTCATAAGAACAAGGTCTGATAATCTTGGGTCTTCCAGGACTGTCCCCTTCAAACTGCATTAGTTTTGAAAACTTTGAGTCACTTGAAAACCTCCTGTCTTGCTGGGTGCAACGGCACTCATCTGTAACCTTCGGGAAGCTGAGGCAGGAAGATCACAGTTTAAGGCCAGCCTCAGTAACTTAGCAAGGTCTCAAGCAACTTACCGAGACCTTATCTTAAAATAAAATTTAAAAGTAAAAATAAAAAGACTGGTGATGTGGCTTAGTGGTTAAGTGCCCCTGAGTTCCACCCTTGGTACTAAAAAGAAGAGAAAAAGAAGACCCCATGTCTTCTGTGACATCCTGGCTAGGTAGAGATCTCCATTGTGTTTATTTATTTTGAGACAGGGTCCATGTTACCCAGGGTGGCCGTGAACCTCTGGGCTCAAGGCATCCTGCCACCTTAGCCCCCGAGTAGCTGGGATGACAGGTGTGCAGGGCACCTGGCTTTGGAGATTGCCACCAATAGGGAAGAGAGCACAGTCCAGCAGAAGTGCAGACTGCTTGGGATTCCACCACCCACATGTCCTTCACAGAGGTACCTGGTGGCCCCAGGGCCACACTGCATTCCTACAGTGTCTACCTCATTTCAAGGCTCCAAACATGCCACCGCGGTACCACAGGGCTACTATTTCAGAGGCCACACTTCACTTGGAGTGTTTGTAAGTTCATAAGTTTTAAACTGGCAAAGTGACCCATTTTCTTCCCCATGACCATTTGGCCCTTTGGACACTGTTAGTCTCAAATTTGCAATTTCTTTTCCCAAATAAGTTCAATCTTTTTCCCTACATAGCTAAATAAAAATGTTTAAAAAATGCAAATAATAAGGGCTGGGGATGAGGCTCAAGCGGCAGCGCTCTCGCCTGGTATGCGCGCGGCCAGGGTTCAATCCTCAGCACCACATACAAACAAAGATGTTGTGTCCTCCGAAAAATAAAAAATAGATATTAAAATTCTCTCTCTCAAAAAAAAAAAAAAAAAAGCAAATAATAAGGGGCTGGGGTTGTGGCTCAATGGTGGAGCACCTGCCTCACATGCGTGAGGAACTGGGTTCGATTCTCAGCACCCCATATAAATAAAGTCCTCTGACAACTATGTATTTTTTAAAAAAGCAAATAATAAGTAATTTAAATTGTAAAATTATAAATTGTATCTAAATGAAATTAACTTTTTCATATAATATCATAACCTTTTTATTGTTTCACAAAACTTATTACCAGTTTCCTGGAATTAAAACAAAAATAATTAAAATCAAGACTTAGTTTTCCTGAGCCCAAGGACCTCTAGAATTTTATTACCTTAACATCCATATAAAAGCAAAAAGAAAGCAGCCTCCCTTGTCCCTCAGGGGTGCTCAGGTCCACTCGGCAAGCCTCCTCGACCCCTCGGCCCCACGCTGGTTCTCCCTGCCCAGCGTCAGCTTGACACTCCAGACGGCCTGTGGCCAGGCCCCTTCTGCCTCTGGGGTTCCTGGACTCCAAGGCACCCCATCCCAGGCTCAGGCGGAGGCAGAGTGTTCCTCCCACCCAGGCCTACGGCAAAAGGCAGGCTTGACTCACGGCTAGGCCTGGCTCATGGTCTTGAGAACAGCGCCCCCCACATCCCGCCAGCTTAAGGAAGGCTCCTCAGTACCGGCTCCAGGCTGTTCCACTTCTGAAATACCTTTCCCAACTAAGTGCACACATCCAGACCCTATTGCATAAAACTGGTATCACAGTTATCTGAATTTGAACTTGGGAAAAGAGGATCTTGTTAGAGAAAGTCTCATCTGTCCAGTCTTCCTAACCACCGGGGGGTCTTTTAAAAAGCAGAATCCAAGGCTGAGCGCGGTGGTACATGCCTGTAATTCCAGCAGCTCGGGAAGCTGAGACAGGATGATCCCGAGTTCAAAACCATCCTCAGCAATGGCAAGGTGCTTAGCAACTCAGTGAAACCCTGTCTATAGATAAAATATAAGAGGGCTGGGGATGTGGCTCAGTGGTCGAGTGCCCCTGAGTTCAATCCCTGGTACCAAAACAAAGCAGATTCCAAGGCTCCAATAATAAACCACAAAGGGCTGGAGGCCAGGAGTCTTTCTCAGTGGCCTTGGCCCCCAGCATGAGCCCCCTCCCCAGGTGCCACTCTCCCCTTCCCCTGTTTCTCTCCCGAAGCCTGCTCCTATTCCTGGATCAGGAGCGGCTCTCTCCCTCTGTCCCCCGAGGAAGCGTGTCCCGCAGGACTGAGGCAGTGCAGGGACAGGCAGCGAACTGGACAACCACAGTCCATACCCTCAAAGGACCGGCTGATCACCCACCCTCCAGTTTTTCCAAACCAGATCCTAACCCTGTGGGCCTGAGAGCATGTCTGAGATTCTCACTTTCAAACAGCCTGGAACAAAGGAAATACAGTGCCATTAATGACTCACTCAGGAGTCCCTCCCGGGCCCTCAGGGAACGCTGCAGCCCTGTCTGCCGAGCCATCCTGACCTTAGTAATTTTTGTAAGTTAATTTTTACCAAAAAAAAAAAAAAAAAAAAAAAAAAATCCAGCTTTCATTAAGGAGGCTCCATGGAATGTCCTGTATGACACCAGTAGTGGAAAAAGACTTCCCGAGAAACGGCGTAGCCTGTGGCACCCGCTGCAGGAAAACGGCCCTCCCTCCGGCTGCTTGGGAAGAGCCAGCGCCTGACCACCCCTGGCTGGAGCCTGGCCCTCCTCTCAGGTTCAGAGGTGTGCGCTGGGCCCTGGCACAGACGAAAATGCCCTCATGCCCACTGAGGCCCAGAGCAGCGCCCGTGGCAAGTGTATTTTTTTGCTATTTCTTTTTATTCAGTAGTACACTTTACATTTTGCGGGGAGATAAGAGGAGTAGGGCAAAAGGGTTTCATCAGAGTCCCCTACATGTATGACACTCCTGATGGTACAAGGACAGGATGAAAGACCAGGCAACCAGAGGGAGGGTTCCCAATATTCCTAACTCATCTCTATAATTAAAATGATACGGTGTGAGTACCAAGCCCGCGGTGGCCCTCAGTGCCAGCTGCAGTCCCAGTTCCCCGCAGGCTAGGTCATACCTACACATCATCGTCCTTTTCCTTTCAGGGAATGAAGCTGGCCTAGAAAATAGGGAACAAAAAGTTCAGCACAGTTGGGTGACAGTGCTGTGACTTTCTTCCTACCCTCCCCAGCCCACTGTGCTAGGCAGGGCTCAGAGCAGAACTACCAAGGGCCTCCTGGGGCCTGGTGAGCCTGGCCTGGCAGATCCCACAGGCAGGGCCCCGGGCTGCGGCTCTCCAGGGCACAGTCCTCTCTTTGGCGATGATGACTGTAGGGTTAGCGCACGCATGCTGATTTCTGGGTGGTCTTCAGGATCTCAGCAGCCTTGCTGTGCTCAGTACCTTGGAAATCCACGCCATTCGTACCTAGAGCGTGGTTCCCTTCTTGAAGTCCTGTTCCATGTGCATCTGAGTCGGGAATCACCCTGGAGATGAAAATGCCCAGCTTGGAGGCCTTTCCTCCTTGATGTTAAATCCCAACTGAGCTCCGGGAGGCTTCTTCAGTGTCACAATTCGGGGCAGAAACTGGTGGATTTATTGTCGTAGTCCAGGTGATATACTCTCATGAGGAAGAATCCACACTGGGGGATTCTATTAGGCAGGCAGGAAAAGCACTGAGCAGTCATCATAAGGAACTGGCCGTCCATCTTGGACAAGACCCACTGCTTAAATGCCAAACTACCTCAGCAGCAACAAAGCCCTTAGCCACCCTTGGCTCGGCTCAGTCAAAAACCCGTGACACCCACGTGCCCCTACTGTGCCCCAGGAGATCCAAGGGGCCCCACTGTCAGCGCCTCTCTGTGGGAGGAGCCAGAGGAGCAGGCAGGGCTGCATGGGCAGAGCCCTGCCCTGGTGGCCTGGCCGGCTCAAGGACAGGTCCTCGGGTTCTGTGCCTTGAAGCTGGGTCATCTTAGGCAAGTGAATATGGAAAAGTTTTAACTTTCTTTGAAATTCAGTTTCCTCACCTCTAAAATGAGAAGCTCAAATGAGGGCCTGCACACCGGTGCCCCCAGCGCCTGAGGACTGGGTGCCCTGCCGAGCTGCTCTCCGCTCTCCGGAGTCGGCCTGGGACGGAGCCTGGTGAAGTCCAGCCCTGAGGCCAACACTGGGACAGTGAAGCCCTGAGGCCGATGCTGTGACACGCTCACCTCGGTACCCTTGGCCTAGGCTCCAGCTCACCAAGGAAACGTCATTGTAACATGGGGAACTTGTGCTGCTTCGGTTAAAATTAACAGTAGGTGACCTCGGCTTAGAAGAAAATTCCAGTGACAAAAACGCTGCATCACCCACCTGAGTGGTGTGGAGACTGACAAGTAGGGAAAGCAGACGTCAATCATTCTGCGTCAAAAGTGCAAAGAAGTAACAGGAATGATGTGACATTTATTTAACTTCTATTTTCCTTCTTATTTATGCACAAAGTGAGACAGAGTAAAATTATGCAATAGATCTAAAAGAACTCTTTTTTTTTTTTTTTTTTTAAAGTGAGAGAGGGGGACAGAGAGAGAGAGAGAGAGAGAATTTTAACA